AATTTAAAAAAATCTGCCCAAATACTTCCTTAAGCTGCACAAGTTTTTATGACATGCTGTAGTTCATACACACAAACAGCCATCATATATTCTACTATTACCCCACCCTGAGCTGTATTGCTTAATATCATCGACTAGTTTTAGTTTTGTCTGTGTTAGAAACAGATGATCTGTCTTGGGCTGTCATTCTTTCTATTGCCTTAAACCTTAGGACTGAGCTGTTGGGTAACTTTATTGAATCTAGCACTGAAGTAAATAAATGAAACCCACAGTGACCTTTTCAAGCCTCCTTCTGCACTAATATGCACACAAGAACAACTACATTCYGGTAAAGAATACTGGAAATGAGTCGTAAACATTTTATTAAAACACCTGACCACTAGCTTAGTGCTCACAATAAGGCATACTTGTAAAGATAACTGTAAATTGGTGCTTCTATGCATGAAAACATTCAGAAACAACTTTTAAGATATTTTGACAACACAGTATTTCCTTTGTTTAAAAAGAACGCTGCATAAACAGCAGTGACATCCTGTGATTAAAATATATATTCTTTTTAATTTTGGAGTCTGTTATTTAATCTTGCCACAAGTAGTAGCAGTAATTGGCTGGCTCTAATGGGGTTTGCACAGACAGTTAAGACATTCACCATAGTCAGGAATATGTTAACTGATAACCGCTTCGCCAACAGACTATGGTAATATCTTAATAACAACGGCAATTCACAYTTCGCATTTTCTTTGCTGCTTTTTCTCCATTTTACCCATTTACACAGCTCAGAGAGGTATCACTATGCAAGCACGTAATATATTGCACAACAGATCCCCAGCAGTGACTACATACACCACCACAATCCAAATTGGGAGAGTTCTTTAATCTTTTTTAATCTAATCTTTTCTCACTGATTCAGTACAATTGCCCTGATTTTCTCCAACTGCAGTTAAAACTCTCCTCTTAGCCGAACCCCCAGTGTGGCTCCTTCCRAGGCAGAGCAAGGCATCTGGCACAGCAGGGACTTTGAACCTTCAGCTGAACGCGTGTGAGAGCCCATCTGAAGGCAACCCAGGTGCAGCTCCCCTCTGAAGGCAAGACTACAGCCTCGCTTAGAAAGCTGCCAACCACAGGTCTTTGCTTCTCTCCTTCATTCTACAAAGCCCTGTTTGTTCTTCCATGTGCTTGCATCAACTGTCAGTTGATTATTTTCTGAATCTAGAAAGTATGTGTGTCCCAAACCCTGAGCTGATGCAACTACATTCTGGAATTTACCCATCCAGCGTCTCATGTATTCACTGAACCAAATAAGCTTAAAAAAAAAAAAAAAAATCCTATCTTCAGTGGAATGAACGAATCAGAAACTTCTCAGATATCTACTTGTATCTTCAAAAGTTTTATCAAAAAAGAGTTCTCGGGTCCAGATGAAAGTTTCTTCTCTAAAGCAAGACCAACACCAAAACAGCAACTCTTAGTATTCCTGCAGGAGCGATGGGCAGTTTAAATGCTTCTCCCACACATGAATAAAATGCTGGATCTGAGGTGGGTACTGCATCCTCCAGGGAACAAAGTTATTCTATGATCAGTGAATATAAGATTATGAAATCTCAGTAAGCAACTTCAATGAGAAAAGATAATAATCAAAAAAGGCCTGAGCTGGTACTTCTGAGAAAGCCAAGCCTAAACTCCCAGTGTAAATAGGTAAAAGGTTTTCTGTATCCCCAGTATGTGCCTTAACACAATTGCCCCATACAGARCTTTTGTCCCGCAAGGGACACCAGAAAGCCTAACTTTTATCCTAGCAGAGATTGGCAAAAATAGTCCARTTCTCAAAAAACCTTACTGGATGAGAAAGCCATTTCCATTGCTTGCTCTTCTGGTTACACAGGACCTAAATCACAGCAGAAAATAAAGCAACTGTGACAAGCTACTGTTTGTGAGGACAAAGTAATGAGCAGAAAGATCTTGTGCTGTGGGGGTGGCATCTTCCTGAATTGGCTTTGATTCTTGAAACGACAGTTTTAAGACAGTTTCAACAGTGATGAACACTTTGTCAACTTTAAACTTGGTCTGTTCAGGATTTGTTTTAGAAAACTTGGTTTCTCCACCAAAGTTGTTATGTATAGAATTCTGGCCACATAAACGATCTCCTTTAATCGAATCCAAACACAACATCAAGGCCACCACGTAGATTTTATGATAAAGCCTAAAAGCTCAGGGCCAATAAGAACAGCCCCAAATCAAAATGGTCTCTAAACCTTGCAATCTTGTCCTGACCAGAAGAGAAGGAGGTGAAGACGGCTGCCCCATCCATTCTCCTCATGCAGACCTGAGGTCTGCAACCTGCTCGCAGCTCTGCAGCCCTTTGCAGAGTGACTCCTGCATGCAAGCTGGTCRGTGCCCAGTTGAGACTCTCCTTCCTGGCCTCCTTTTCCATTCAGGAATTATTTCTACAACTTTATTTACACAACCACCTYTGTCTGCATTTTTGGTGTCTAGAATACATATATCTATCCCTCAGTTTTAAAGAAAATAGGATGAAAGGTACATTGTAACAGAAGCTGCATGGGAAAATAAGCAGAAGAAATAAGCTCTTATTTAAAAAAATAATCCAAGCATCAGCTTTTTGCAATTAATAACAGTCCAGGGTGTTTTTCAGCCTTGATCAGAGCTTCTCTACATTCCAGCTAGCAAAGTACTTATTGTTTTTGTTTAATCTCTGGGGCTACTTTTCACAGTCTCTGGTATCGTTTGCTGAAAATTCTTTCTGTCCGTTTTCAGATTGTCCTGGGTACTGGCAGGATGCCAGTCCCACCGAATAGAAGGGGCAGCTGCTTAAACTGCTGCAAATCAACACAGCTCTTTAACGAGATGCACAATGAGSAGTTGGCCCTGGTCGCAAATTTGTGAGAACATTTCCATAAATGTAGAGTGATTCGTTTTAAGTTTTACATTTAAGCAGTAAATTTTTACATTAAGTACTACATTTTTAAGTAGTAAATAACAGTATAGAGTTGCATGCATACTCTAAGTGTGGCATTTTGTCTTGAGAGAGACTCAATTCAGAACCTTTTTATTTGGCCATAAGTCCTTTAGTGTCTTCTTTCTCCAGAAGGCCATCCACTAGGGTACTGAAAACTACAGAAACCCTTGCAACGTTACATTCTAAATAAGCAAAGCACAAGGAAAAAAAAATCATATAAAACAATGTATTTGTTGCCTATGAATTAGGGGTTTTTCAAGGCATCTGTTATCAGCTCCATCTAACTTATTCAGCCTGAATCACATCATTGGCCCTCTCTCTCATCCACTGACTATACTAAAAATTTAAAAGTCCAAGTTTGACCTGTTCAACTAAACTAAGAGCGATTCTTAAAGTACATCACAGAAGGTAGTGTGAAACATCCTTCATTGTCAGAAATTATTTCCCTGTATATATCACCTGGCAAAATTTATTGCAGAACATAATGATTGTTAACATGAGTTAAAAATAATGTGAGAATCGAACATATTCTATTTTAGATAAAATATCTCATGAGAGCAATTCCTTACAAACAAAACAATATTTTTTGTCTTTGTTTCTCAAGATGCACTCAGATCAAGAACAGCTTTCCTCTGCAGMGTTTCTTATCTAACCATTGTTCTAGGGCCTAATATGTTAAGGGAAAAAAAAAAAAAAAGAGAAAGTCCCTTTTGGCTACCACAAAGCTTGTGATAGAAGCCTGGCCTCTGAAATCATCCATTCCAATTAGAGATGCAGAGAGCTGATATTAAAACTGCCAAAGAATTCTTAAGATACTTGGCAGGGAAAGCGGAGTCCTTAGCCCAAAATTKTACATGCGTGTGGTTGATAGGAAAGTGAAGGACATCGAGAACCTTTGAAAAACGGATCTTGCCTTTTACAGGGTGACACAAAATTTCTGGTTCTAACTTTAAGAAATTACGTTTTTAAATTATGGACTCTGATTTTCAGTGGCATCTTCTTGAGAGCCCCAGAAACAAGTTATATATTTGTTGCAACTGATCTTATGTGGTGAGARGTATGTTTTGAAGCAGAGCTCTTTGAAGGAGCGGAGCTGCAGCAATTTCTTTTGTTCACAGAAATGGGTGTTACTCTAAGGAGATTTTGTACACGAAAACAGATACTCTCATATATTTCAAGTGTGTTAAAGAATCTCTCATTTCACCTCACATAGACACAGTTTTACATAAACTCAGTCACAAGCCTTAGCGTTCGTGCCTGGATCCCAACCATGAGAAAGCTCAGAGGTTTTYTTCCTCATAGAAATAGAGAGGCAGAGTCTCAGCTGCTACAAGCTGCTGAAGTCCTGAAAATCTCACAGAGACACTAAGTGCACAAGCTGTTTATAGAATCTGGATTGAGATTTGATTTTTAAACTCAAGCAGCTCCATGTGGAGCCTGGGCAACATTTGATTCTGTAGCTTTAGGTAGTGTTCAGCTTTCTAGACATTTTAAAATGTAGCGTTTTATAGGTTCRTATTGTGGTTAATCATTGTCAAAAGCAAAACAAACAAAAAAAAAAATCAAAAAAAACCCAARTGTGTTTGCTACAAGTTGTAGTATATCATTTAGATAGCCATCAAGCTGTGCTGCCCAGGAAGTGACTTTTGAGAATAGGATGTTGAAGAGCAACATCTCATTTAAAGGAAGTCAGAACTTCAGTGTCTGTCAAGAGAAATACTCAAACTGCTTGACCTAGGTTGTTATAGCTTCTTGATAAGTTAGTCGTATCTAATTACTTTTCAATAAAAAACAAACCAAAGGTAGAAATCATTATACAACTAAATCACAGAAGGAGGGAGAATATGATTTTAGATTGTTTCCTGTGCAGAAGAGACCCAAGCAGAGGTTACAGCTTTAAAGGCAATTTGTCTGACATACAGATCATGTGTCTGGATAGATGAGAGGATTTCACCTTAAATGAGCAGTTCTAAGTGAGTTAAAAAAAAAAAAAAATCCCAAGAAAACAACAACAGAGAAGACTTACTGTCTTTTGTGCTGTTCTTCCTGAACTTTTCCAGGTCCACATTTGGGGGTCTGTTGGGCTTCTGTGGGGGCTGGCCCAGGGTGAACAGTGGGGGCAAAGCCTTCCGCTTCGGGGCAGCCAAGTTCTTGTCTCTCTTCTCTTTTTCTTGCGATCCCTCCGGTAATCGGCCTGCAGCATACGCTGGGTTTGTCTTAAGGAACTTGGAGGGAGAAGAACCAGATTCTTCCTGGCTGATTTTGTTGAGGAAGATATTCTTGACAGCACTCACTCCCTTTTCTTCAGGCTTCTCCTCCACATTTTGGGGGGTGACTTGAGATGAGCTGGTCCAATTGCCAGTAGGTTTCAGAGACATATTGAAAGAATGACTGTGAGCGCCGGCAGCTTCTGCAGCGTTGTTACTATCTTTGTCTGCTTCCTTTGCTGCTCTAAATGAGTTTATTTTTGGTCTTGGGCCTGATGGTCCTTTATGCAGAAAAGCATTTCTATTAGAAGTGTCTTCATTATGRGAGACTTCATGGTTTACAGAAGGTTTCTGCGCCAGAGGTGGTTTAGAGAAAGGAGGCTTCGTCTCATTCTCTTGCGTTGCGGCAGTGAACCTTTCCTTAACTCCAGCCACTTTGGAAAATACTGCTGGCTCATTTTCTTGTGATGCAAAATTTGAATTTGGTTTGGATCCCCAAGGCTTTTTTTCTTTCTCTTGAGGAGGAAGGAACTTGTTCCCTGGAGGTTTCGGATAGAGAGGCTTAGGCTCTTCTTTTGGCAAGTCACTGGGTTTGGTGGGGGTCTTAGGGCATCCAGCTTTTCCGTCATTTTCTCTGCTAACTGCCTGAAGCTGAACCCCAAACCTTTGTGCCACTGGTTTCAAATATGGGGGTTTAGGATCCTTTTCTGTTTTATCATCAGCAGGAGGCTTGACGCCCAGAGGAGGCTTAGAGTGAACAGGCTTGTGAAAGGCACTGGGTCCTGAAGGAGATGCTGCATTTCCTTGACTCGCAAATTTCTCAAGTGCCGCTTTCCTTGCCTGTAATCCCGAGTGGACAGGTTGTCCTGGGACTTTGAAGGGCCGGCTGTTTCCAGAAACGTCCTCTGCGGGGCTGTTACCTGCATTAAATTTTGCCATGAGTGCTTTCACATCTGCCTTGCCATCCTGCAATCATAGAGAAGGGGGAAAAAAAGAAAGCAGCAATGAGAAAGCCTCCGTTGCAGTGTTCACACATACTACTGTACTTTAAAGGGTTTCCTGGGCTGAGGCTCGCAGTACTACTGATTGGCTGGGGAGATACTGCAGCACATCTTCCTGTAGGGCTAAAGCAGCTCACTATTTTGTTAGACACTTGCTGGGGCTGGGCAAGCTTTCAGCTTTTACAGGGGGCTCATTCAGCTCCTCTTGTGCATACTACAATTTCTGTTTATTTGAGGAATTGGAAACCAACATCTACTAAATACATTAAAAATAGATTTATATAAAGCATAGTTTATATATTTTTATGTATTATATTTTTAATATGTATTTATATATATTTAAAGTGTACATAAAATATAAAAAAAATTAGATATCTCTMAAAAACAGGAGTCTCCTGCCGTGATAAGCATGGACTGGGTTGAAACCTGGATTAGGCAGCAGACTACTGTTATTTCCGCCAGCCCTGAGAGAACTGGAGAACTGAAAGTCTCAGGGTGAAACAGAAAGTTTTCTGGTTTGGGAGAGGGGCTCAGTTTTCTTTCCCTTCACAGGATTTTTCTTCCTTGCTCTTCCCCATTTCCCCCTTGTTTGTCCCATTTCTTTTCTCCATTCTGGACTTGAAAATAGTGCTTGGGTAGACAGAAAATGAAAATATATGGGGTAAAATAGGAAGAAGATGATCAATAAACCCAGATATTGTAAAGATACTGGATTAAAAAAAGTGTAGAGCAGGGGGAATACGACTAGAAAGAGCTTTGAATCCCTTGTTTAAAAGCAAAGGACTATCAGTGCAAAGCACCAGAAATAAAGAACAAAAATTTTAGGAGACAAGAAGAACTGTGTCTTTACTTGGTAGTGCAGGACATGAAGTCAGTGCACGTTCAGTCATGTACCAATTTTAATTTCATTCACATGGGCTTTTGAACTGGGGTTGTTAGCTCTTCTGCCTTACCACATTATATGAACTGTCATGTAGGAGTAGTTTTATTTTACCTACGACTTTTATGATCCTCTTTTTTTTTCTATTTTTTTTTCTAATTTGCTATTAATTTAGTTCCACCAGAAGTCTTATAATAAAGGCAACCTGAAGTGCTTGATTGATATGCATGAAATCTCAATCGGGACCACCAAATTATTATCTCTTTTGCCAATGTAGTAAAGGAAAGAAACACACATTTGCTCTAGCGATTATCAGCTTTCAGCTCTCTACTGCTGCTTGGTGCACACACACACACACACACACACACACACACACACACAGCAGAGATACATATATGTATCATAAATCTTTCAAGATTTCCCACATAACACTTCAAAAGGCACTGCTTTTATCCACCTAACCAGAAAGTTAAGCTAACTGCAATACCAAAAATGAAAAAAAGAAAAACAACAACTTTCTAGCTCTGATCTCTCTCAACTCTGCTAAGGCATAATTAAAAAAAAAAAATTTGTAGCAAAATCTAAGTCATCRGAAATGCTTAAAAGTCTTCAGGGCTTGTAAATGTCAGTCTGCTCAACTGCTTAATCAATTCAGACATTTATTTCATAAGTTATAAAAATAAATGGATTGTTTTGATGCTTGCTTCAGCAGAAATTAAAGAAAAATTTAAGAAAAATTTACTTTCTCTAAGGCCTATGTAGTTAATGTATTTCTTTTAATGTTTTCCCCCTCCCCAATAGTGCAAATGGCCTTTCCCAAAGGCAGGAAAATGTACAAGTTCTTTCAGAAGGAAAAAGAAAAGCTCGTGGGGATGTGCAAGGCTTGCAGTTAATGATGCAGCTGCTCTCATTTCAGAGTTAACAGCATTCAGAGTTAACAGCAAATAAAACAATCTAAGAAGAAGGCAGGAAAATCTGTGAAATCTCTGTTTCTCTTTGATGCGGGTCATCAATTCATTTTTTATTATGCTTGTTTATGTCAGGAATCATATTCTGGATTCTAATGCACAACCTGATGGGCCAGAGAGAGAAATAGGAAATTGGGAAAAAGAGCACTTGTATTCCTGGCTCTGCTCRTTGAATAGTCCCCACAACGTTGTTTCTTTCCCACCCAGAAGGGATTGCTGTTACCCATTCCATYGGCACAAACCCGAGGCTGTAGTTGCTGAAATGGGAACCTGAAAAGGTTATGAAGTTAGATCAAGTCAACCCTTCCCACCACCTCATGCAATAACCAGTCGGGTTATTTTCTGAACTTCCTGTTTGCATCTATTGGGAAACTCAAAGCAAAATACTTCGGCAGCCCACAAAGTGCACAACGTCTGCTTGGAGAGGAGATGCCTGCATTACTCAAATGTCTTTGCTCAAATATAGAATAATACCCAGGTTTTGTTTCTTGAGCCATAAATTCAGATAGAGGATTTGTCCACACAGCCCCTTCTCAGMCTCCCAAGGCCTTTAACAAGACCCCACGCAGATACCTGGATATAACTGTACAAAATTCTTGCAGCACTAGATCTTACTAAACTTCAGTGCAAASAATTGCAGTTCTCTGTTTTCAGCATAGGTGCACATTTTTGCATAGAAGCAGTGTAAAGAGAACACAAGAAATAAAGCTACCAAAGCTACTATGAATATTTCAGCCCAATTAGAGAGAGATAAATACAGAAAAATCATAAATACACTCTCATTATTTACTTTTCTGTCTTATAAATTACAAATAATCTTGTAAAAAAGATTATTTAACACCAACTTCACACACATCTCATCTCCTTAAAACAAACAGAAACACTGCATCAATCAAAGGAACAGCAGGCAGACATTTTTTAAGGGAATTTTTAAGCAGAGAAAAAAAGCTTAAGCAAATGAAAGATGAGTAACTGCTGACTGTACAAGAAACATACAGTTGTGCAAAAACACATGAAGACCCAATTTATAAAGGAGAAAAAAAAATCTTTTCCTTCTCACCTGTAAACTTTTTCCTTTATATTCCCAAGGGATGGGGTCTACACGGTCCTTTTAAAAATCTCTGAATCTTGTAAAGAAAAYAGATCTTGATGAGATTGCTGGAAACTAATGAAAGAAAGATTTACAAGCTGTACTTTTCAAGAGTACAGCGTGAATGCTCATGCATTCTGTGACAGAAAAAGATCCACAGCAGCTGGTAGCCACCGAAGGAACCGACTCTAAGCCGGGAACAAGATAAATAAGGAACTGTAAAGGAAAGTCAAGGAAAACTACAATTGAAAGTTATAAAAAATAGAGATATGAGAATTATTTTGCAACACAGGGGCCTTATTTTGATTCTGCTGACATTAATGGATTTAAGGGAGTTCAGCTGCCTGCAGAAGATACTGATGCCTTTTTGAATTCATGATAAACATTGCTTGACTGTTTTTCTTTTCCAGAGAGACTTCAGAATTATTATTAGGCAACACTTTTTTTTTCTTTGTTTCCAGAAGAGATAAATAATTTCCAAGTTGCTCTTCTCCCCCTTTAGTCCACTTATAATCACTGGTTAAAGACAACTCCCTCTGAGCGCCCTTTCAGCATGTGCAAAGCGGAGCTCAAACGCTGCAATACCCTCTACTTACCAGTGTAGGCAGAAGGAGAATGAAGAGAGGACAGAAAGACAAAATCTGCCCAAACAATAGACTTGCTGATACAACAGTTGATATGCAAGAGAAATGAGCCCTCAACAGATACTAAATAATGAAGAAAGAGGTTATTCCATCCTCTGCTCTCTGGGATTTTTAAAAAGGCAGACATAAGGGATGGAGAAGAGAATGTCTATAAACACATCTAAACATATCTCCAGTAAGATAAAACAAGCGTATTTGTGAGTGTATGCAGCTGGCAAAATCAGGCAAGGTAGCAGTTGGTGCTCCTGCCCGATTGCTCTTCAAGCTTTCCCTTTGCACAGTCCTTCACAGCTCTGCTTTCCCTCTCCTGTCACTGATGTTTTTTTCCCATCTTTTACCCTAAGACCAACTACCTCACAYTGCAGCAACATGGTTCATGGACATCATAGTTCATCTTCTCCAGGCCAGATTGAGACCAGGACAGTCAGATGACATCCCGRCCTGATCCCAGATTGCTGTCACGGTCAATGCACCAGACCAAAGCACCTATCCATGCACGGTCATCTCCCCATCCTACCAAATGATAACTTCAACTCAAACTCTCACTTTCCTTCCATCTTCTAGAACTTTCCTAAGTCAAGAAACAGAAAAAAAGAGCTACAAATGGCAGCACATCCTTCAACAGCTGAAGCCTGGGAGCTTCCATTTTTGACCAAGACTTTCTATCCGGTTCAAACTGATTAACTAATACCTCTTCTGAAAAAATAATTTTCTTATATGTACTTTATGTATTTAAACTACATATATAGTTAAAAATATACTATATATATTCAAAGTTGGCTTAGCACAACCACCCAGTTTCATAATATTTAATGTTTGGGCTTTTAATATTTTTTTTCATACACTAATCAASAGATTTCAGACTACGGTAAAATTCCTAGCAAGTGTGTTAAGGAATGAAGCAGACAGATGTCTCTACACACAGAACCCTGCTCACACGTACACCATGTACAGTGATTGCCTTAGGAACCCCTTTCATTTTCCKCTAGTTATTCAACTATTATTCAAGTAAAGATAATCTAATATCTGWCTTCTGAAGCAAGAAAGTTTGAGTTCCTGCCACTCAACAGTTTCTACCATTATTTCTGGAAATTCAAGCTCCTACATGAATTTAAAGGAAATTTTGTGCGTTTTTTAATCATTGAGTATCATTCTGACTATTAACTGGAAAGAAAAATATCTTCCATGACGCATTACATACACATACTTAAGTTGGTCTCTCAATCCAGAGTAAGAAATACCCCACCCACAAGTAATAGAAAAGGAAACACTGGAAGTTGTTACTGGTGACACTATTTCTGTTATACTTTCATATGCAATGAGCCAACTTTGCTTTGCCATGTTATCATCTACAGCTAATTACAAGAAAGCTCTACAATTAATGCTTCCACAGATATGAGGTTCTGTGTAATACCTTAGAATGATTATAGCTTTTCCCGGAATTTTGTATTTTCTAAGACAAAGATATGCAAAAATTTACCTGTATTCCTCAAAGCTCTCCAATATTTCGATAAAGGCAGAAAAAGACGACTCCCTCAATGAACCAATCCAGTAGTTTCCCACATCAACAGCCTGATCTGTTTGCTGAGAGCTCTGTTTCTCAGCAAGGGTTTGCATCAGAAGGCCGCTTGTGGGTTTTATTACAGCGATCAGTAAAGAAAACTGCCCTGCTCAGGATATTAGGCAAGAAGTGGTGGGAGAAAAGGGAACTAAAATGTGTCCAGGCTGCTGTGCTGCTACCATCAGCAATATTCACCACGTCATACCTAAAAGCAAATTGAGCTCCATTTACATGTTTGCCCCATATCGGAGAGTCTTGGAAACTCACTGAGCTGCTTGCACCAATGCAAACTTGGATCTTGACAGAATAAGGGCTTGTGAAATACTGGTGGTCCAGCATCTCCAAGCATAAAGACAGGAGGAGACCTCCTGGGTCCTCTATTTCTCTGCTATTGCCAAGAATCAAAACGTGCATACACACTCATCAACTAAAAATATCATCTAACTCCTTTGTTTGCTCCTGCGATTGCTATTAGGATCAAAAAGAATTTTGTTGACCAAATTTTTTGAAAAAAGTTTTTGCTTTATAGAGGTTTTTTTTTAATTATGATTGTACATTTCTAACATATTYTTGCCTCCAAGTACATTATACAAATCAAAGATTTTAAGGATGATACAGGATAGGTAAATCAATGTTGAAAAATAAGTTCTACAAGGAGCTTTAAACCTGCATTTGAGCTGAAGATAAATCCAAACCACAAAGGCGGAACCCACTACTAAACGCAGCTCACTGAGGCTGCTGGAGCTCTGCACAGGGATGATGGTGCAGAGGCAGTTTTGCACTTCTGAGCCTCAYCAAGGTCATTTGAGCCTTCCTCATTGTTTATCACTTTTTCTCCTTTTAGAAAACTTGTTTAGCTTTTTTTTTTCTTTTTGAAAAGTTCTTACATGTCAAAATAAAACACTGAAAGTGCTTGATATTTCCAACTTCATTTTCTCAAACTTCTACCTTAGATTAGAAGATTAGCGTGTTGGATGACTCACATTTTAATTTAAAAAAGCTCTTTCATATTTTTTCTTGCCAATGGTAACTGTGTTTCAACTACTTGTTACACAAAGTTGTTTCTTTTCAGTGAAGTAAATTCAGTTCTGCACAAWTTTTTTTTTTTGCTATACACTGTATTTCATTTTTAAAAATGTATTTTCTGTGGAAATAAATTAATAAGTGCTTCTTCATTAGTGTTAAGCAAAAAAATTATACTTTTTGACTGTTGCTCTTTTAGTTGGCAGTTTCCAYGACTGTTTTACAGTGCTAGCTAAAACAATACACTCATTTTGCACTGCCAAACACTGCTGCAAAGGTTTGCACAGTACCAACGCTACACAGATCATGCAAGGATCAAAGAAACAGCTACTCCCTGCACCTCTTAATGCTAGACAGCCCTTGGCTTCTCTTTCATCCAGGGAACAGATATAAATATACCCATCATTGGTAGAATTTTAAGGAGAATATGAATCTCAAACATAGACCATGGAAATAACAGTTTAGACCATGAAGCTGCTTTGGAAGCTACCCATTTGTACTGTCTATCATATCACAGAATGGTTGAGGTTGGAAGGGACCTCTAGAGATCACCTAGTCCACCCTGCTAAGCAGGAACTTGTAGGTACAACTTCCCAGATCCTCTCWGCCCCCCACCCCCTTACTTCTGTAGAAGATGTTAGTGAGTAATTTAGAAAATTGGCTAATTTTAAGAGGAATAAAGAATCTGATGGAATTAATATTCCTAGGATAAGACCTGCAAGCCCATAGCCGTTTTCTGAATGCTTCACAGATAAGCAAACCAACCCCACAAGATCATGCATTTCAGCGCAACATATTAACAACGATAATGCCTTCTTGTATATAATGATGTCATTCTCTGCATAGATCAAAAAGGCACATAAGTCCCAGTATAACAAGGGCTGGCTAGCATCCCCATTTGCAATATTTATTACTGCAGCCTTAGGTTTTATACCTTGAGGAGAAGTAACTGTTTCAGAATTAATACTGTCCAGAAACAAAGAAAAGAAAAAAGGGGGGAAACAGCCTAACATACACTGCAGAAAGTGCTATTCCATTTTTTTTAAGGGGATCTTGCATGGACTGACATCCACCTGTGCTCAGTTTGAGATGCCACGTAGCCCCATCTGAACATCTTCGGCTTTGAAATTCAATCCCAACTGAAGAATACGGTTATGCTCATGTTACCTCCACAGCTGTGTTTCATCACACAATGAGGCGGCATAAACTGCAGGAGTGAAATGATAGAGCTTTAAAAAAAAACAAAACAACTCTTTTCTTTGCATGTTATATTTAAACTGATACATTTCCCTAACCTGCTCTACTAAACGATCTCATAACAGGCAAAAGAGCACAATAGAGTTAGTGATCAATAAGAATGGGCGGAGGGGAAAAATACAGAAATGACTGGATGGGGTGGGTAATACTTAAAATACATTAAAGAGAGTACCATTGAGCAGGTGCATTAAAGCAAGTTTAGCAGTCTCCTTTCTATATTGGAAAAGTATTGCTGTGTGTAATGCAAATATATGGAGTCCTCAAGCAACAGGAAATCTATTTTAGTGCACTTTTTCTCTCAAGCTTCTCCTCTTGTCCCTTCCTCTTCTCACTTCCATACTACTTTTGCCTCCTAGTGGTGGAGTAGGAGCAGAGAGAATTTTTTAATTGATAAGCCATTTGTTTATATTTACACTCAACAAACTATAGTCTATCTGGTTTTATTCCACTCAGGGTTATAACATTTCAAGCATTGCCATCTTTTCAAAGGACAAGGAGAAAGAGTTAGCTTACCTGTGCAAAGCTGCTGCACAACTCCTTGAAGACAGCAATTCAGTGAAAAGATGCCATCTACGTCACTTCTAAGATAGGCACTCCCAGAAGCACAAAATCATTTTGGAAAATACCTGAATTTCAGTAGAAATTTGATATTCCTGAATACTGGCATGAGCTGCTGCCTGCAATTATTACAGGCCACTATGAAAATGAACATTTCCTGTAAGAACAGCCTAT